ATTTCATCAGGAGCTACTATTCGCCCCTTGGAAAAGAAAGAAGAAAAAAAGAGACATGAGAAATCAAAATGGGGTGCCCGGGTGGCTCAGTCAGTCGAGCATCCGACGACGTTGGCTCAGGTCATGATCTCAGTTTGTGGGTTTGAACCCCGAGTCAGGCTGCGCTGACAGCTCAGAGCCTGGAGCCTGCTTCGGATTCCGTGTCTCCCTCTCTCTCGCTCTCTGTCCCTCCCCCCCCTTTTCAAAAATAAATAAATATTTTTAAAAATTTTAATAAAAAAATTTTAAGTCAAAATAATTTAACCCTTAAAAAATCACTGCAAAGTGTACTTGTAAGGTACATGACACAGCCAATCCTTTTACCAGCAGAATTTGTATTTACACAGAGTAGTCAATTTTCTAAAACTCATCAGGGGACTTTTCCATATTAGTTTTCTAGTGAATCTGATGAGTAAAACTACCCAAAAAATTTTTAGGAACTGAAGAAAAACCTAACTCTTCCGTTGGGGATCTGAATCCACTTTAGACGACTACTCCATGGACACGTTTCCTTAGCATCAATACTACAACAAAAACAACTAAGATAAACAGCTTTTCTGTTTTCTAGATTTTTTTGCCTTGCACTTGATTTGCTCTGGTTACGCTGGCTTGATGTTTGAGAGTACTAAGTAATTTATTATAAAAAAAAAAAATGACAAACCTGATTTTTAGAATTTTGAAGCATCTGGCACAGATATCTTATTTCTTACTAAAAAAATAATTAAGGGGCGCCTGGGTGGCTCAGTCGGTTAAGCGTCTGACTTCAGCTCAGGTCATGATCTCGTAGTTTGGGAGTTCGAGCCCCACATTGGGCTCTGTGCTGACACCTCAGAGCCTGGAGCCTGCTTCAGGTTCTATGTCTCCCTGTCTCAGCACCTGCCTCCTTCCCTCCCTCCCTCAAAAATGAATACACATTAAAAAAATTTTAAATAATAAAAAACAATTAAGTCATCACTTGCTAAAAGTCTCCTATATGCCAGGCACTTTATCTATATGTTTTCAATCTTGATCAGTAATCCTGCAAGATAACTGTTATGTTTCTGTCTTTCATCCTCAGGAAGTCAGCAGCCTGGAGAAAAAAAACCCTGACAGTTGAGCACCTATGCTAGGATCCAAGACTAAAGTCCTGGCTTTGATTCCAAGTGAATCTCAAAGTGGAGATTCTAATAATCTGCCTATCTCTGCAAAACAAAACAAAACACCTGAGAGATCTGTACAGCTAAACAGAATAAGTAGAATTTGTAACCACTGCAAAAGAAGAAAAGAGGCTTAGAATCCTATGTGACATCATCATGCCCTGTTAAGATCTTACTATGCCCTTGCGGCCTAACTAAAAAACCAAACAATTCTCTCTCTCTGCACACCAACCAGATCACCCCCTGCACGCACACATATGCATGCACACACACACAGTTTTATTATGACCTTGTGGATAGTATTTTTGTGACATAAGATTCCAGTGGTTTATGGCTGGGACACAGAAGCTTCTGGTTAATTAAATATCCTCACTGGTTTAATCTCCCTAACATTAAACCCCTAAACTACAACAAAGGAAGATCTTCTTTGGTGTGTAGCAATACCCTTTAAGGACCCATCCAGGCGTCAGATTCATCAAAAGAAACTCAAGTTCTCACTGCTGAAATTAATTCCCTCTGCTCCTTCATCTGACCTTGTTTTTGTTTTTAATCTTTGGGGGGGAAACTTGCCACACCACACTGAAGCTCTGTGATTTGATCCCAGCCACCAAGTGGAAATCAACTCCACTCACCTCATCTTCGGTAACATTCAGTTTATTCAGACCACTACTTACCTATTGTTCTTAATCTCTTTTTCTGGACCGGATGATTGAAACTGACACAGTTAGAGACCTCTGAATGCTAACCCAGTAGGAAGAAACTAGTTTCTGCTCATTTCTTCTTTGCCCCATCTTGGTATGTGAAAGTCCTTCACACCAGGTGAAGTCGAAGGCCCTCTCTCCCATCACCACTTAAGGAACTAATAAGAATATTACCTCTGAATGCCATGAGGAGCTTTTAAAAGGGCAACAAAAACCAGAGAGCACAGGAATTTTCAACTTAGTGTCAAAGACCCATTGACCCATTCGTCTTTTGTGTCGATTTATTTTGTATCTGACTGGACAGTTAGGACTATACAAACTTAAACTTCATGAGCCTACCGAGATGATAGAAGAGCCTCTGGCTTGTCACTGAGCGTCTTCCCTGGGCCAAAGAACTTCATGAACTCTGTTATACGAGAACCAGCGGACAGAGTCACAGGTCTGGACTCGTGTTCTGCCCAACTTACAACAGCCAATATTGTTTAACTAGAGAAGTCCCTTATGTTTTTAATTAGAATCATCCATCTTTTATACGGTTTAAGAAATCAAGGTTTCACGGTGGTGATTATTTTTGGCATTCTTGAGGCAGTTATAGTCTCTAAAAGACAATCTGCCTAGTAAACTATAAGACACTCTAGACAAAGTTATCCAAATTTCTCATCCTGTCTGAAGACAGTCAGTGGAAAAAATCACTCCATGAGTTACTCCACTTCCTTTACAGAGTAAGTGACTTTGAGCACCAAGCCCATTGCCTGTTCGATGACGCACATGATGAGACGCCATTTGCCAGCCTCTCCAGAGTCAGGTGTGGCAGCGTGGTGGCGCTCTGGCCAGGGGAATGTGGGCAGGAAGAATGTGCTCTTTATCTAGGCCTGTGCACATGAACGCTTCTCACGGGAGCCTCCATTTTGGCCCTCATGAGGACTTAAGGCAGACGAGCACAGCCATGTATGGAAGACAGAAGGAAGAACAAGACAGAAGAAACTAGGATTCCTACAAAACTGGAGGAAAACCACTCATCAATCAGGACTACCAGGGAACAAGAAATAAACTGTCAGATGTGCGCTATTAGAAATGTGAGAGGTTATTCTAGCAGCTGGCATTATGCTAACCAAACAAATTTACTGGGCAACTCTAGATCAAGGTTAGGCTGACTTGGAATGGATGCTCTAGAATTAGTGACTCAGGCAAGAACAGGACATACCAGATGGAATGTCTAAATATGTACAGTGAACACCATGTTTGGCCATAATAAAGCAATCTATTCCAGTAAAAATTTTGCTGGAGAACTGAGGTTGAAAAGATACTTTTGAACCACTGATCCTTTATTTCCATAGCTGGCATAAATCACCAAAAATCTGTGAGAATCTTCAACCCTGCCTTTGCCGAAGGTACCATAATTCATATTAAAATACAACACCAGCATACCACAGGAAACCCAACTCTGAATTTACTATAAAACTACTGTTGAAGTCATTTCACAAAGGATATTATGTGATACAGCAGAGTTCAAGTTGAGTTTCTTTATTTGTTTTTCGAAGTAGAAATTTAAGATCAAGAAGACCTTTGCTTTCTCGTATGCAAGTCACATGTGTTCTCTTGGAAGAGAATCAAAACATATAGTGCTTCCCTTCCTGCCCTCTCGAAACCGAAAATGGATGTGCACCCCCCCACACACACACATACAACATTCACTGTCATCACTGGGGTCCTTCCTCCTCCTTGCTTTGACCTCAGTGAGCATGTCCTTCACTGCTAGATTACTTCAAAGATGAGGTATGAATAAATTCATCAATTAAGGAAGGAAACGAACACTCATTAAGTACCTACCACATGGTAGGTTATTTTTACACGGTCTTCATACCATTTAATCTTTGCAACCGTGAAATGTATATACCATAATTTTCCATTTTACAAAGGAGGAAGCAGGGAATTTTTTTAAAAAACAAACAAACTTGCTCAAGGCCATACACGAAGACAAGATACAAGTCCAAGACATAGGACTCCAAAACTTAAATCTTTCCATTTCAAAATGCTGCATTTGACCTACGACCATCCTCCGGGCCATCCTTTGCCATTGGACCTACGCCATATTGCCAAAATAAGAAAACTGGATTACTGCTCAATTTTTATTTCATTAAATATTCATTTTTAGTGAATCGATGGTTCTCAAGTTGGCCATCCTTCCGCTTATACCTTATTATCACATTTCTGCAAAATCAAAGCGTGTACTGTGCACGCTACCCCGTGAAGATTTTAGAGGATAAACCCAGGGCAGGAGGAAGCACAGCCGTGCATTATCTGGGCTCACCGCTGCCTCTCTCAGGAAGTAGTTCTTTCTACCTAGGAAGTGTTGGTTTCCCCAAGGGTTATTTTAGAATTTTTGTTCACCAATTCTTAAACATTTCCAAAACTCCGTCTGGGAAGATACTACATTGCTAAGGTCGGTAAACAGGCACAGGCCAAGGAAGCTGAAACACAAGCGACAGTCTTCTACTTTCTCAGCGGGGCGGCAGGAGTGTCCTACAACATCTAAAATGGTTCCATGCCGGACTAGAAAACGATTTTTAATGCTCTTCTTTTTCCTACTTACAGGACAAGGTGAAATCAAGGACAATTTGTAGTGCTGTATCACAACTCTTTTAAGTAATTATTTACTTCCCTAGAATTCTTCAAAGTCAAATATAGATAAAGTAGTTCACAAAATATTATCAGTTCCAGCAGTTATTTAAAACAGCATTAAACTACAGTTGATCAGTGAGACTGTCAAAAGGCTAATATTCTTAGGTTAGCACAAGTTTTCACCATGCTAAAATTAGGTAAATTCATGGTTGTCAGTTACAATACCTTCATAATCAATGTGTCTCTGGTGACCAAGTCCTGCTCAAAAATACACTTTCCTGTTTGAAAGGGAATTTCAACACACGCTTTAACCAGAATATATTTCTATAGGTGACATTTAAGATGATAAAACTATCGACGCCAGGTTCTTTTGACTGGTAAGGTCAGAACATTTCTCTTTCCTCTGAAAGCCTGCTGTGCTACCGACGACCTTTATGTACGCCACTCCAGCTCGGTCAAGCGCTGCGTCACGGAAAATCACGCTCTTATTTTCAGGCCTTACCTTCAGGTAGGATCCATAATATTTCGTTACGTATGGACTGTCACACTGACTCAGCACTGTGATTTCTTGTTGAATGTCCTCTATCTCATCTTCAGCTTCTTCCAGATCAATGATTTTTATGGCAACCACTTTCTGAGTCCGAAGGTCAATGCCTTTGAACACCTCACCAAAAGAGCCCTTTCCAATTTTCTCCAGTTTTGTAAAAAGCTCTTCTGGATCTGCTTTCAGGTTCTGTAGAAGAGAAGGAAAAGAAGGGAGACTTCAATAACTCACAGTATGGGGACTGATTTTTCCTTTTACTCATAACATACACAACACGGTCTTCCAAGGACTGATCCATTTTCTTAAGGGTCACGCTGGTTGTGACCACAGTTCCTCACATTCAGGACACAGAGACTTCTAAGCCTCACCTCTACGAAACACGGCAAGTGTGCAAATAAGAATAACCCACATTATAACAACTGGGAAAGGCTCCAGCATTTGCATAATTAAATAAAAACCCAAACACTTATTTGAACGTATTACGATATATGGATTTATTGAGAAACACTCGTTTAAGCAAATATTCCACTTTTCTCCCTTCCTCACCCCCCCCCCCCCCCCCCCCCCGCTCAAAATTTCTAAGTGCAGGTTGGTATATACTAAATTTAGGTTAAGTAGTACTTAATCGTTTCCTAAGAGGCCATGTTTTAAAGTCCAACTTAATCGTTTCCTAAGAGGCCATGTTTTAAAGTCCAACAAATACAGTCCTACGCATCTTCACTTACAGCCTAAATATTTTAACCAGATCCCAGAAAACAAGAAGAACCTGATTTCTTTTGTCTTGTTAACATTACCTCCTTGAAATCGCTGCGACAGCTCTTTACCACCAACAGGATTGCACGAACACACACAGCGTACGTTTCCAAGGGGCCCAGATGTAGGGACTCTGGCACCCATCCTAACGGCTTCCTGACCACAGAGGTATGAGCAGCTGAATTCTCAATGGGCAACACCCTGTCATCCCCAGGGGATGTCTGGAAATGGTATGAGGCGGTGTTTGTCACAAACCGAGGGGCGAGACTGACATTCAGCAAGGAGACCTGAGGATGTTGCATATCTCGGCACAAGGAAGTGCCCAGCCCAAAACGCTGCTGCCATCACCTGAAACCCCACAGAGCAGGAAAGGACCGGGCGAGCCGCCACCTTACACACCTTCCCTCGGTGTACGTGAGCAAGAGGACACCGGGCCCCCCCTCAAGGTCTCCCAGTCCTTGTAAGAAACTGAAATATGGAAAAGGGAGTAAGATGGGGAAGGAGGGGGGCTAAAGAGGTGGGAGAGTAACAGGCACAAGGAGAGGACGTACGGGTGGGGGGCAGCGAGTAAAGAGGGGAGAGACAGAATCACAGCATTTCAGTGGCACTGTCGGACGAGCTCTGCGGGCTAACCAGGCGCTAACTGGTAACTTGTTCCCACGGGGAAACACAAAGAGTTCCAAGCACGAGCTGGAGCCCAGCCAGCCGGGCCCCAATGTGGAGGTGCTGCTGTGGCGTGAGCCCTGTGGAAATCACATACCCCAGTAACACCTGGGCAAACTGACAGTCGTGGGTGGTCTCAGGGACCCCAGAGAGGTCCCATTTCTGAGAATGCACACCAAACTGTAAAAGCTCACAAAACCCACCAACCCTCTCAGTAAAAATGAGCAAAGGACTCAAGAAACGCATCCTGTGGTCGCCAGGAAAAAGGAACAGAAGACAGACCACGTCCATTTACAGCAGCTAGAAACCCCTGTTTGCAAACCCCTTCCCTTACCTCCTTCCCTCCACGATGAGGGGGGGTGGCCCTCCTTTTCCTCAAGGCCAATCCTAAACGCTGAGCTTTTGAGTCCATCCTTCTGTCCCCCAGGATGTGGCTTCATCAGTAGCCCCCTTCGTCACTCCCTCTTCCGTTCAGCCCTCTCTACAGACCCTTCGCCCTTGGCGGACGGATCCAGTTTCTCCCATTAAAAGAAAACAAAAACAAAAACAAAACCACCTGGCTTCTCCGGTCACCCTCCTCCTCCACTCTCTCCTTCCTTGAGAGTTCCCTGCAAGTCCCCGGGACCAGCCAGGCGCCCCGCCCCTCACGGGTCACCGCTGCAGTCTGGCTCTGGCTTCGGGTGGCACAGTGCCGGATCTGAACCTCCTCCATGAAGCCCTCCCTCTGGGAACTTTCCAGTCCCTTGGCATCTAAACCCTGCCCTCCACTCGTCTCCTCCCCAGGCCCTAGTTCCAGAGGAGTCTTCCCACAGACTCTACCCACGCGGCCGAATCACAGGTATTCTCCCCGTGGCTCCATGCTGGCCTCCCAGCCCTTCTCTACTCGTTCTCCCAGTATAGTTTCAAGGTTTGATACCAGGTTCCCCAAACCCGGCTGGTCAGAATTACCTAGGATGCTTGGGAGATCCCCAAAACATCCTCAGTCATACACGGGGGGGGGGGGGGGG